AATATTTTTGGTATTAATATTTACTGCATGTTTGATACGATAACTGCAAATATTGAATTGTACTTACATAGCAACTCATTAAAGACACAATTTTTTAAAAACAAACTTCCACAAAAATTTTTTAAATATACTGTATGTATAAAAATAACTATTATAATATAATTGTTGAACTATTACAAAAAATGTTTATTCCTCTCATTTATCTATATTCCTACCTAGCAATTTTAAACATTCCACAGGTATGTTGAAAATATGAGATGAGCATTGTACCTGTTGCTACCATTATAGTCATTCCAATGCATAATACTCCGTACATATGCAATAGCATCCAATAGAAATACTTTTCTTGATTAACAAAGTATTCTGTCAAAATGAATAAATGATGTGGTTGAGATATGTTCATTGATGTATTAACATCAGCTATAAACGACCAAATTTGAATCATAATAAGAATAAATAATCCACAAATTCCAAATACTAAAAAAGAAAAAAATGTGTTATATAAATTTTTAGTATCTAAAATCATTTTGTGTGTGTGTGTGTGTGTGTGTGCGCGCGCGCGCGCGCGCGGGTGTGGGTGTGGGTGTGTGTATGTGTGTGAGAGAGAGAGAGAGAATGCGTGTGTGTGTACAATTATATATTCCGTGCGCGCGAATTATGTTAAATAATTTTTAATTTTTTTTATGAAATCGAATTTCACTACAAAATTAATAGCTATTTTATTTTATATATCCTTTATATTATAAAACATTTTTTAATGGAATAAGACTTTATTGTAAAATTGATAACTATTTTTTATATTTTATTTGATTATTAAATACATATAAAATAAACATATATGCACAAACATCATGACAAATATTTTAAATTAATACATTCATATAATAAATCATATGTTAATGTTTTTATAAAAGTGTACAATAAAACTAACTGATAAAACCTAAAATCATTTTCTATATTTATTTGAAATTTCAAATACTAAACTGAAAATATAATTATCAAATTAATAAATATTGTCTTACCCAAAAGCGTAACTGTGTAACGTTTGGCAATGCAACTATATTTATATATAATAGCAATTTCATTTTTATCCTTTAAATCATCGAGTATATATCGAAGCTCTATCAATAAATTCTTCACCTGTCATTTTATCAATTTTCTATTGTATATATCTTTGTATATAATATAAATACTTAGTGCTATAAAAATTTATTTGATACACAAGTTAATTCTATTTAATATACAGTGTGATCCAGATCAATTACACGGGATGGCATGTATATATTCAATAGAAAATGTCAATAGTAAAATATTATGATATCAATAGTTTTCAAGTGAGCCTGAGAAGATATCCAACCACAGGGAATGAAATTCGCGTTATCAAGAGCGGAGCAACTAAGCAGCGCTCGAATCTTTTGATAGATATCGTTAAACGGCATAATATGAGTATTTACTGCACAGTATTCTTAAATTAAGTCCGATTCAATTGATGGGGAATAATGTTAATTGCAAATTCGATACAACGTCATTTATATCAGTAAAAAGGATTTTTGAAATATGTTTTAAATAATAAACAAATTTGTAAATAAAATCAATATTAATTAATTATCCAAACAAATATTATTAAAAATATTAATTGACAGATGTTTCCCAAACTTTTTTTTTGTCACAAACAACATTAGAAAAAATTAATTTAAGAATACTACACTAAATGTTAATACAGAGATTTCACGAAACTTTGTAATATTCATTCGATATCGTGTCATTTAGCGGTATTCATCAAAGCATTCGCGCGGCCAGCTGCTTAGTTGCTCTTGACGGCGCATTTCACGCCCTGTGGTTGAACATCTTCTAAGGCTCACTGTTTAAAAATTATTAATACCACAACATTTTGCTATTGACATTTTCGACTCATTTTTTTATGAGGAATATATTGTATATGTATAATACCATTCCATGCAATTGATCTGAATCATCCTATATATACTTAGTAAGCTATCAACTTACAATTTCAATGTTAAGATGGAATGCGTTATATTTTATTATGCACAATATGAAGAAAGATACGGAAGACATCACCTTTATTACAAGGTTTAAAGTACAATTTAGTATTAATAATGGTGTCAACTGCAAAAAGATAGTTTTACGTAATGTCATATATAAAGATGATTTTAAATAATGCGGTAAGTTATTTCTCAAAAAGGCATGTATTAACGTGCGTTACTATAATACTAATAAATGCTTATACATAAAATTGTTAACAATTTGCATCTCTATAGCGAGTACTTTGTAGTTTCTTATTTGACATACAATTGATTGCATAATATAGATTGATATAAATAATTGAAATGAAATATCACGCAGTAATTTATATTATATAATAATTTTGTATTTTTTTTGTACCTGAAATATAATACCTGCACACAAGATAGTACAGAAGAAAATAAACTGAAATTGAGTAAATTTGGATTGTTGATAAGGCCATAAACCAACAGCAAGCAATAGAATTTTATTAAGATTATTATATTGAATTTCGGGATGTATCATTTTCTCTACGAGCGTTTACGTTTTATTGAGAAAACTGAAGACATCAATAAGAATATGCTTATTTCATTTTTTTCTATTAGTTGACTAAATATATATTTCACATCTCATTTCTTCTGATCCAATTTCACCGTAAATTTCATAATTTATAATGATTGGTTGTATAAAAGTTTGCTGTGTGAGATCTAACGGCGTCGAATTTAACTTCCTCTCTTAGGAAATTACGAATATTTATGTTATTGATTTAACACTACTAGTAATTTGACAGATGTTTTTTTCTCATGAAAATATGTTATTTTACACGCAGGTGCATTTTTTTTCTCCCAGCGCCAGAACTTCATTTTAATTTACGCACTCACAGGATACACTTCGAGAGACTGTTTCTTTACTTTAATTTTTTCAATAACGTGAGTTATGTGATAAAATTCATAATTTGAAAATGCATTATATTGATATATAACGTTGTAAATTTAAAAATTGCGTTTGATCGTTGTAGTTAATATTTTCAGCAAACAAGTATTGAATGTTGATTTGTAAGTTTGTTGTCTATAATTAAACTATATATTATATTGATAATATTTTTTTCTTTATATTTCTTAAATTTTTTAATGTTCTATTACTAATAGCGCGCAAAAAATCTTGTTTACAAATGATATAAAATATATAAATATGAGCCATTTATATAATACATTTTAAGTTGCGATTATGCGAGTATTGAGTATTTCAGTTAGAGTTGAATAAGTTGACTTTTTTTTTTAACTAAGCCAAGTTAAAGTTAATAACCTTAAACATATAACTTAAGATATTAGTTAATTTATAAAAATTAATTGAATTAAAAGTTAAGTTAATAAAAAAAGTAATTGAAAAGTTAAAAGTTAAATTTGTTTTTTCATATTTTTTAAATTCATGATTCCAGTGTTTCAGTCTTACAAATAACGGAAGAGACAAATATATACTTCATTTAGAAAATACTTTATATTTTATTTACATATTTTGTGTTTATATAAGATTTACTGTTTAATATATAAGATTCGACTATGAATACTCTCTCTCTCTGACCTGTGATATGACTAAAGCTTCAGACACAATACGAGAGAGTAGCGATAGTAATAAGGAATAATAGATTTCAATCTATCAGAAACTAAATACATCAAAATACATGGTTTCTGATTGAAATCTGTGGGGGGGGGGGGGGTCGATTGTGTAATTTGAAATAAGGTGAAAATCACAAAAGTGAGAAATTCACTAGAATATTTATAATTTCATTAGTCAATACCTAGTAAATTTACTCACTTTTGCAATTTTTACCTCATTTTAAGTTATCGCTATTGCTGCATATTATGTCTGTGGTTAACTTCAAAGAATTAAATAAGAAATTAATAGTTACGGACAAAATGTAACTAAATAAAATTAAAAAGTTAAGAATCTAAAATGTAACTAAGTTAAGTTAAAATTAATTAACTTTAATTTTTTAACTTAACTTTTATTTTTTTAACTTAGCACTACCCAACCCTGATTTCAATAAATTTTAGAAACTTGAAGTATTATACCAATATCTTGATTTTGAACTAAAAATGTTTAAATGAAGACTAACAAAGTAAAATTATTTTTTTTTAGTAAGGAAATATCTATTATTTTAAAAAATTGCTAAGAATTAAAAAGAATTAAATTTAAATCAAAGAAACGATTATTTTAATATCATTATTTTTTTATTTATTATATTAATGATCATTAATTAATATTTATTTTTTTACGCGTAGAATATATTACAGTAAAATAAGATA